CTTAAGCAGGCAGAACATGCATTAACCTCAGGGCCTTTGCACTTGCTCTCCCTGAAGTGACTTCCCCAAAACAGCACCTCTCTCTGGCATTGCATCCTGTTCACTTTCTATTCTTTTAAAAACTTCCCTTTTCTAGATAACTTATCACCACTTGATATTACATATTTGCTTCTTACTTTCTTTTTCCCTTCCCCTGAAAGGTGACCTCCAGAAGTGATGGGATTTTTTTTTTCTGTTTGTTGTTGCATCCCCAGGACACTGGGGAGTGGATAAAGATTTTGGAGCCTGCAGTTAGGTGCCCTTTTAAAGAAAAAGTTAGAAAAACTACAAGACAAAATAGAAATGAAACTTAATATTTATTTATTTGGAATGCAAAAAAATTACAAAGTTTACAATGCTAGCAAGTACCACAAGCATTATAAAATCTGAAAAACAAAAGACTTTTTATTACTTAATTGCCTGACCCATCTCTATGCATTTTTCCTCCACAGTTTTTGGTAACATACTCTTTGATTGCCTCTTTTAATTATAATAATTGTATAATATAATCTTCTATAGAAAGAATAGGAAAATAATTGTTTTTTTTCTCCAGTATAGCCGATCAGATTTTTTTAAGAAAAAGCGTTGATTAGAAACACCTTTTAATTTCAGCATTATTGCTGCATCTCATACAGTTTTTTAATTGTCAAATATGAGAATCCCTATGAACCATAATATTTGGAAGAATATTCCACAGACTAGCTTCTGGCTCTATACATTTCTAGCCTGTTTTTTTTCTCCACCACACACAGTCCTAGGCGCCCTGGGATACAAACATTGCATTACAACTTCGGGCCCTGCTGCCTCCATTTCAGCATTAGGTGATTGAGTTTGCACAATGGGCAGTACAAATACTCTGGAATCCATTTCTACACCAGAAGACCATAATAACCTACCTGTACATGGAAGTGACTGTGAATCATGTATGTAGGTTCCAGTCAACCTAGCCTAAGTACACAATAATTCTACTTCCTTTAGCTCAGTTCCAGAAATAGTCATGCCCATCTGAACACTCTACAGCATGACAGAGAGGAGTTGGGATAGACATGGTTAAGACAGCAACCATAACCATTTGCAGTTAAAACATTTTGCTGTCGCAAAATTTATAAAGGAATATGGCTCTGTGAACAGTTTGCTAGGGATCCATACAAATAAGGGACCCTGACTCTCAGCCCTTTTTAGCTTGGTAGTAAATCCATTTCTTCCAGCATCTAATAGTACTTGTAGATACAAAGTAGACATTCAAAATATATTTGTTGAGTGAATGAATGAACTAAAGTTACTTCTTTGAGGCTTTTCCATAGTACTGTAAATCAGAGTGCCTTTCAAATTAAATTGGACCCATTAACTGCAGGTTATATTTATCATATTAAAACTCTGCTGAATCTCTGATGTGATGTGGGATCTATTCTTAATACAAAATATGTCAAGAAGATTTATTCCTTATAAGCACAGATATATTGACCCTTTCTTGTTTCTTTCTATGGAGAAATTCACAATTTCTGCATAATTTTATAGCCCTGTCAAGTACATTTTCTCAGGAGTATGCCCTAAGAGCTATTACTTGGAATGTCTTACTACTCAAATTATGGAACAACTTTCTTCAGTGTATATGTTATATTTGCCTTTTTAGGAAGGACAAAGTCTACTCTGTGACCTTTAATTTTTTATTTTTGTGAACCCCAGGGAAAGAATTGTCTAAATTTTTAAAATGATACTATACAGCTAGAAGGAGCTGAAAACTGAAGGCCCAAGTTTTCCAGGATGGAACCAAAATATAAATTTATTTAAATTTTAAGTTAACTTCCTAATATGAAAATAGAGATGGTGCTAGAAAGGAAATTGGCAGGTCCAATATGAATTCTTAGACTGAATGGATTTGCTTAGGATTCACAGCCTTCATAACTCTCCTTCATTTTCTTATCCACGGTTAGCAGAGCTATCTCGCTGCTGATCACTGAAGTACCTATAAAACCAAATGATCTCTTATAAAACCTGACTCTGAGTATCCATTTATGAACCATTGAAAAACCATGTGCCACTTTCTGGATCTGGAATCTTTCCGAGAATGCCAGAATCAAAATGCTTCTTGTAATGCTGAATTTTTCCATTTGACATTCAGATTGAGGTAGCTGAGAGAAGAGAAAAAGCTTGGATGCAAATAGTGATATATTAACGGCAGTGTTGTAGCCTTACTGCTGGGCTTTCTTCCACGTGCTTAACTCAGGAGAATGGAAAAGTGTGAGGTTGTGATGAAAGAAGTAGGCCTCCATTGGACAAATCAATGGTGAATCAAACACGGGCAGTATTTCCCACATTGACCTCATTGTATCTTTTTAAATGTTTTACTTTTTCAAAATTTCAAATTAATCTTGGGATCTAATTGGAACATACACAGTGGTTAGTAGGGAAAAGTAAATATAGGTAGACAAAGCCATTTGTTTTGGGTAGGATAGTGAAAAAAAAGCATACACATCCATTATAAGGTAGATTTTTCTATTAGGTAATGCATGTGTATTGGTTTTAAAAAGTGACCCTTTGAGGTACCCTCTCAGGGAGCCTGGTACTGGTCATGCTGATTGATTGGGAGTTTAGAGTAAAATGTTTTAAAGTCAAAGTCTCTGGCAGATAATTTGCTATTGTACTGTTGTTTATTACAGCTTGAAGTGGGGAGAAATAAATCTGTTTAAAAATATTTTTTAAATGGATAAAATTATAGACTGCTTGTTAAAAATCCTTCACAATAAGTAAGTGTTATAAGTAGAGGAGGGCAAGTCATGTTTTATCTAGAACAGACATATTTCAGTTTGATTAGAAAAAGAAAACCATTTTTTTCCTTAGTGTCATTCAGCTAGTGTAATGAGCATTATTGATTAAAATGTTAGAATCAATAAGGATCTAAAATTGGAGTAGAGGAGACCTTAAGGAGGTAAAAAAGATTGTGTTCTGTCAAGTAAGCTGACAATTAAATGCTTTGTGAAAAACTGATTTTCTTAAGCGTGAACGGTCAACGGTACTTCTTGGCTTTCACGGGCATATGCCGTTCCAGGGCATGCAGGGACATGTAAAACAACAAGTATATATTGTTATCAGATTCATACACTAAATATTTGTAAATATCACATACTACCGAAAGCTAATTGTAACACATTAGCCCATCTGACTATGTATTATTAAGCTTTGTAAAGAGTTCTGTGTCATGTTAATGCTTGTTGGGTCATTGAACAGCCAATGAAACTTAACATGTTTCTTCTTAGAATCCAATTATGTATACATAACATATACAGTTACATGTTGTCAAGTTCTTTCTAAAATTTTAGCAGTAATGTTTAAAGCCCCTTATTCCTCTTCTTCTTAATTCAGCAGTATCAAAATCTAGCAAATGTATTGGACTTCTGTAGTGCAGCATAAGCGAATTAGATATTCCTCAGATAGTAGCAATTGCATTATAGACCTTCCATTTGCAAGGAAAAACTGACCAGACTTAGGTAAATACATGTGTAAAAAAACACCAAACTATGGGGAGGTAAATGCAAAATAGAAAAAAGGCAGTTGAAATATTCATAAATTGAAAAGCGAAGTAAAAAAAAAATCTGGTCATATGAATTTTATGAAAAACATCTAAATGTAGTGAGCATTTTAGTGAAATGTATGCAAAAGATACCCCTAAAGAACAATTCAGAGACCAGCACCTGAAAATGTTAACAAATAAACATAGCCTCTAAGAGCTGCCAAAGAGAAAAATGTGGCAGGACATAAAAGAAATGCCTTAAAAGTGAAGCCAAAGGACAAAGGCATACCAATCACTAAATTCAGGGATTGAATTCTGAATTTTCTCAGGGTTGCTCTGGGCATCACCTTCCTGTATAACTAATTAAAAATTCCTTTCAAAAATTTTACAGTCCTTTAGAGTGGGTCCAAGAAACATACTTTAAAAAAATAGATTCTGGGGACACCTGGGTGACTCACTCAGTTAAGTGTTGGCCTTCTGTTCAGGTCATGATCCAGAGTCCCCGGATCACCCCAGGTTGGGCTCCCTGCTCAGTGGAGAGTCTGCCTCTCCCTCTGCCTCTCACCCCACTCATGCACTCTTGCACACACTCTCTCTAATAAATAAATTTTTAAAAAATAAAAAATCAATTTTGATCTTCATGAATATTTTTACTATTTATTTTTCTAAGATATTGGGCATAAATTAGTATAAATCTATTAACTATCATGTAGACTTGTATGAAAAATTAGGTAGTCTTTTCTTTTAAGTTAAAAGAATCTCAGAAAAAATAATAAAATACTAGTAAAAATAATATCTGATAATAGAAATTATTTTATTTCTGTTTTTTTATGTTTATGTATATAAACTCTTTCATAAACATAGTTCATTATGAGTTTGTTAAATTTAAATACTTAGTTTAGGACCCCAATCACGTAGTTCTATAATCTATTTTTAACCATATATCCTAGGGATGCCTGGGTGTCAATGGTTGAGCATCTGACTCTTGATCTCAGCTCAGATCTTGATCTCAAGGTCACAGGTTCAAGCCCTGCATTTGGTTTAAAAAACAAACAAACAAAACAAAACAAAACAAAAAAACAGGTGTTCTGTGTAAAAAAAATCAATGGTTCATTGTCTAGTTGCTTCCATTTTGGCTCGGTATTTTTGTTTTGTTTTGTTTTGTTTTGAAATTAGTGTAGGGAGGAAAAATAATTTTCCCTCTATCTTTCTGAGTTCTCAGCTAAGACCCCTGTAGTAAAAGACAGATTAATGAGAAAAAAAACAAATAGAAGTTTATCAACATGTATACCTCATGAGTACATGGGGGATACCCAAAGAAACATGAAAAACCCTCTGAGAAGGCAGATTTAAAATAGTTTATTCTGTTTCCCTTCATTAGTAACCCATGCTATCTTGAAGTGCTGAATGGGAACCATGGCATTTGACTTGCTTTTGCCTTTGTACACAGATGCACCCTGAGTGTGACCCTGGAGCAGGCCATCATTCTGGCCAGAAGCCACGGGCTGCCTCCTCGCTACATCATGCAGGCTACAGATGTGATGCGGAAGCAGGTAAGCCTCACGCGCAGTTTAGGGATTGTTTTCTAGGACCTGGTTTTGAAGGTTTCTTTTAATCAGGATTTATCAGGTTTCATCAGAATTAATCAGCATTTATCAGATGTCTGATGGATGCCTGGACTTGGGGGACATCTTTCCAGGCTCACAGGGTAAATGTGAACAAGAAACACTCCTAGGGATGAAGGGCAGTACAGACATCTGCGTGAGGGTTCTCCAAGAAATTTAGCCAATCTATAAAACAGAGATGTCTAAGGAGGTAAGCTGAAGGAGGAAAGGGGTTGGATGGGCATATTGGGCAAGAGTGGATTTGGGGCTTAGGTGAAGGAAGGATGCATGGCATTTTCAGGGCATTGCAGGTGATTTACTAAGGGTCTGGGAATAGATTGAAGAAGGGAGTGGAGACAAAGAAGAGGGAAGAATTGAGCCTGCTTGCTCCTGGAGCTCCCAAAGGGAATTCCAAGCCATGCCGAGAAACTTGTGCATTATTCTAAAAATAAAGCACATACCTCAAATTTTCCTTCAAAGGATGAATAGCAATCTTAGAAATGTCATTAGGTCACTGAAGTATTTACAGGTGGGAATATACCCTCTTATAAAGAGGAGGGATGTTTGATATTATACCCAATAGTATTTTAAATGTGACAGTTTGGTTTTGGTTTTTGACTCTTAAAATTCTTTAAAAGATAAGAAAAATGTACCAACCTCCAATTTATTGATCATTAGGAAAATGTACCAAATCTCATAGGAAAGACAGAGCTTATTAGAAACATAGAAGAAGTTTGAAAAGATCAATTTTCTATTTCATTCTGCCACTTTTTCCCAGGGTTACCACAAAAAATTGCTCAGTTGGTTTGAATTGCCCAATGATAGTGAGTTTGGTTATTTTTTAAAGATTTACTTACTTATTTGAGAGAGAGAGAGAGCATGAGGAGGGAAAGGGAGAGAGTCTCAAACAGACTTTCCACTGAGCCTGAGCCCCCTGTGGGGTTGATCACACAACCCTGAGATCTGGACCTGGGCTGAAACCAAGAGACACTTAACCAACTACACCACCCAGGTACCCCCAAGTGACTTGGTTTTTAAGATATGCTTTTGTAGTTAAAACTGCTTTATTTACTGAAGACGTGGTGTATAACTCTTACACAAACATACAAATCCCCGTGGGTTTGCTCCCAAGATTACACTACAGAATAAAAACAAAACAAAACAAAACAAAAAAGCATGGAGGCAACCAAGAGGCCAGCAGCAGTTTGGAGTCTGCAATGCAGAAATAAGGTGCAACCAGAGGATCTACACTGGAGCTTCAGGCTGGGAACCCTGGAGCTGGAGACTGAAAAACCAGGATCTCACAAAGTCCAAGAGGGATTTGTTAAGTAAAGGTTAGGTCCACAAGAAGCACAGGATGCACTGTGGTTCAGCTGGAAAAGGGCAAATAAGGATGCAAATGCCAGCAGATTTTGGAAGGATTTTTTGGAAGATGGGTATACAAATTTGGTTTTAAAAAGTAGATCAGGGTAAACTTGTAATTATCCATACGAAGGTCGAGGTTGGGATGCCAAAAATACAGAAAGAGTCTAAACATTTTATTTCACTCTGCTGCTGGGAGAGGAAGTTTGCAATAAGACTTGGAGGAGCCGTCTTAAAATTATGGTTTTTGGCAAGACTAAGAGACTAGTATTAGCCTGTTTTCAAATAGTCTAGTACGGGAGTAATCATGAATTGCCTGGGTATACATTCAAACTATATGGACTTAATAATCAAAACCTTTGAATTCTCACAACTTAGAAAACAGAGATAAAATAGAGAGAGAAAGTAAAAATCATATTTATGTGAGCCTTAATGACTGTACCTTCCTGAGGTACAATGTACCTATGATATTTACAGATATTATTAGTATATATGATTATGCATTGATATATTATAACTTATGGCAACTGAAAAGTTTTGAAGTTTCTTGTAAAATCCTTGTTGATTTCTGAATCGCGACACTTTTGAGTATTTATCACTTCTTCCCCCTTCCATATTTTAAAAATAAATACATTTAGAATGGGTAGCTTCCCTCCATTGTTGTTTGTTTCTCTTCTCCAAGTGGTTTAGAGACAAAGACTGATTTCTGACTTCTGCATGAAAGATCAGAGAGCTTGAGGCCTTCTTTTTGGAGAAACTGGGCTAAACTGATGCACAGATATATTTTTGCAATATTCCTTCTGTTGCCCATCCTCTCCCCAGTGTTCAGCTGTTACAGGCGATGGGGTTAGTGGCAGGGATCAACTCTGCAAGCCAACTCTACCTGCCTGCAATCTGAGTAGTTAGAACACAGGTGGGAATCAAAGATCTAACTTTTCTCTTCCTTTTGCCTCTCAACCATGTAGACACAATTCTGTGGAGACTGAGTGGTTGGGATATTTGCCAGGTTAATGAATAATATTTTCTAAGATCTTTAGTTTCTGAAGAAGAAGCTCTTCAGTATGACTTATTCTTCTAACTCCAGTATTGTTTTCATGTGCAGATTTAAGACTTGTTAAATGCCCTCATTGAGTTGGAAGGAAAGCTGAAAGATAGAAGGAAGGGTACTATGCCCTTTCTAATTTTTTGATAACGATTATTATAATCCTAGGCAGCACTTATACCTAACCAACTGATCTGATTAACAAAAGGCTTGAGGGGAAAGTTCTCACTGACATTAGAAACAAAGTTTTCTATCCTACAAATTATATGTTATTACTTATATGTATTAAGTAATACATATTATATGTTATATGTTATTACTTATATGTATTAAGTAATTACAGTAATAACAATTAACATATAATTATATATGTTCCAAGTATTATTTGGTAGAAGCCTATCTCAAAAATTTTTTGATCTTTTTAATAAAACTGGAATTTCAAAGAATTCTGTCTCCTTACCTATAATATCAGGGCATTATACTGGGCACCAATAACAAAGACTAAGGAAGATGTGGTCCTTGCCCCATCTCATGGTGGTCACTGGAGACAAATCATCATGATACAGACACCAACAGACAGGTGGTATACAACCTCAGTGTTTTAGAACACGAGACAGGTAATAAATGAGTGAGTGACTAGACTGTGAGCCCCTCAATGGCTGGGACACTGAGTATGTTTATTTTGGTGGCATGGGTTTCCAGAAAAGTACCTAGCAGAGAGTACGCACTGAATGATGTGTGGGCAATGAATTAGTTCTAACTAGGATAACTGGGAAAAGGCTTCATGCTGAAAGTGATAATATGATAGTGGCTTAAGAGCATAGATTCTTGAGCTGAACCACCTCAGTTTGAGTCCCAGCTCCATTGTTTACTGTCTGTATCAATTGGGACAAGATTCTAAGTCTCTCTGTTACTTAGTTTCCTCATTATTAAAACAAAGATAATAATAATAATAGCACTTGCCTCATAGTGGTGTGAGGATTAAATAAAGCAGTATACTCAATGTACTTAAAACAGTGCCTGATACAGTGAATGACCAATTATTGCCCAAGATGATATTTGATTTGAGCCTGGAGGGATAAAGGTGATATGGATAAGTAGGAAAGAGGAGAGAGGGGGTATTTAGGTAGAGGGAGCAAGTATCAGGGCACCTGGGTGGTGCAGTCAGTTAAGCATCCAACTCTTGGCTTCAGCTCAGGTCATGAGATCGAATCCCACATCAGGCTCTGCACTCAGCGTGGTGTCTGCTTAAGTTTCTTTCTCCCTCTCCCTCTGTTCCTCTGTGCATGTGTACTCTCTCTCTCTCTCAATCAATCAATATTTTTTTAGGTGCAAGTATGGCATGCGGCGTATATGAAGAATTATTTAGTTGAATTCACTCTGGAATATGCCAATCATGTGCAGCATGATAAGCATCAATTTTATCTGCAACCTTTTGAGAAAGCAAAAGTCTTTCTTTAGATCATTTAATGGAATATTATGAGATTAAATACAAAACAATTATACATAAACACTATAGTTTAGCAAGTCTATTTCTGACAGGGATATGGTTTAGATATTCTAAAACTAGTTTACGTGTATATTAGGCTTGAATAGATAAGTAAATATAATGTAAATAATGAGAATAAAGTTTTTTACTTCCAGAAAAAGAAGTTACAAATAGGGAAAGGGAGAAGGCCATAATCCAGAATGAACGTTGTGGCATGGGATTGAATCAGAGATAGCAGTTTGAACTGATGGGGACACACACACACACACACACACACACAGAGATATACATAAAGAAATAAATATAGATGTTTGAATATGTTTGCATTAGTCAACTGGCTCTGTTTACTGAGAAGACCTAGAAGCAGTTACATCCAGTGTCCAGAGCTGGGTTCTAAAATAATTTTCCATTAAAAAGAACCCAGGATTCTTGGAGAAGTGGTCAATTTCCAGCTGAGACAGGGAAGATGAGCCGGGGACATCTTGAGTTACCGAAAAATAAACAAGTGTTCAAAAATGATTGTGATTCTTTCAGTAGGACATGAGGAGCAACCTGAAGGAGCTCCTAGTGGCCAATCTGGAGCAATCTAAACAAAAGAAATCATTAAAATAGTGGCAGTATTGGATAATAACTCAGATAAAATAAATATCCTTAAATTCATACTGCTTGAAATAAATACTTGAGAAAATAGATAATGGATTTGGGGGGAAAGGATGACTCTTATTTATAGAAGCATTCCTTCCTAAATGCTACAGTATCATTGTTGCAGGCAAGATACCCCAGTAGAGACTAAAGTCAGCAAAAGTTTGAAGAGTTGTATGTGCATAGTCTCATAGTATCTTCCCCAATATAATTATTAACTACGAAAAGAGAAGTAGTAACTTTACAGTGAAAAAAATCTGTCAGACACCACTTGAACCAAGTGAAAGTTAATGTCACCAGTGATAAGACTTAGGAACATCATGTGATGGTCAATGTCGGTGATCTCATGCACTGAGAAGGCCCAAAATAATTTCTTGCCCAAAATGCATGTCCTCTATCTAATCATGAAGAAAGATCTGACAAATCCAGATTGAGAAACATTCTGCAAAATAATGACCAGTATTCATCAAAAGTATTAAGGTCATGAAAGACAAAGAGCCTAAGGAACTGCTATGGATCAGAGGACCAAGGAAGCAAGAAACAAAATGTAGTAGGGGATCCTGGATTGGATCCTGGAATAGAAAGGGGACACAAGTGTGGGAAGTGGTGAAATTTGAGTAAGCCTTGCAGCATTGTACTAATGTTGATTCCCCAGTTTTGATCATCATACTATAGGGTAAGCATTATAGGGAGTTTAAATAGCTGGGTTAAGTATGTGGACTCTCTGTTCTGCTTTCACAACTTTTCTCTAAGTCCGAAAAATACTCCAAAATAAAGAGTTATTTTTTAAACACTTAGATGTGATTCCTAAATTCTATCCCATCTGTCTTTCTCCCACCCCCACCCCTTTTCCCTATTTGCTTTCCTTTTTTGGTCCATCTTGAGAAAATAGGATTTGTTTTCCTTTCTTCCTTTTCTCCTTTTCTTTCCTCCCTTCCATGGCTCAGAAATTTGGTAGCAGGAGACAGAGCTTCAGAGTTTTTTTTTTTTTTTTCAGAGTTTTTTTTTAAACTACTCTTCTTCATCTAGTCTCAGCCCCAAACCTTGGTGTTCGGTTCTAGGTAGTAACTAATTCCTATTAGGAACTGAACGATGACTATAGTTTCATTCATGAACTTGGCAGGTTGTGAAGACTTTTTCATTGCTGAAGTACGTTATCTTTGTATTATAAACTTCAAGGCATAATTCTCACATTTCAGAGATCCACATGTACATGCCTTTCCAGAAATTGCTTTAAAACTATTTAAGAAAATCTTTTCTTAAAAAAAAATTAAAAAAAAGAAAATATTTTCTTGATAAATACTATGAAGTTTAAAATAGCTAATTATTCAACTAAGGACAAAACAGATACATGAATGTGATAGAACTGTGATTTCTGTTCCACGAAGGTGGGGACACAGCAGATATTTGTAGTCTGTTCATTTCTTATTTTCAACATCTAAAGTATTACTTGTTTCTAGGAATAAAGATGTAACTGAGATAGTGAACGGGAAGCTGTGATTTAAATTTATTTTGAATGATTCAGATGACTACTGAAATAAATATCAATCCCTTGGAAAAACATACGAGCATATTTTGGTTCTTAAAAGCATTAGTTATGAAAATGCTCAGGGTCACCTGGGTGGCTCAGTGGTTGAGTGTCTGACTTCAGTGCAGGTTGTGATCCCAGGGTCCTGGGATTGAGTCCCACATTGGGCTCCCTGCTTAGTAGGGAGTCTGCTTCTCCCTCTGCCTATATCTCTGTCTCTCATGAATAAATAAATAGAATCTTAAAAGAAAATAAAATACTCATTATGACTTCTCTCTCTTTTTCTTTTTTTCCTCTCTTTTTCTTTTTAGATTTTATTTATTTATTCATGAGAAACAGGCAGGGACATAGGCAGAGGGAGAAGCAGGCTCCTCAGAGAGAGCCCGATGCGGGACTCGATCTGGTAACCCCAGGATCACGCCCTGAGCCAAAGATAGATGCTCAACCCCTGAGCCACGCAGGTGTCCCATGACTTCTCTCTTCTGCTTCTAGTCTCTCTTGATGTTAGATACATCGTTGGGATAAATTCACTCAAATGTAAACAGTATGTTAAATAATTACTAATAAATATAGAGCTAAAAATTATTTTCCCTGCTTCTTTCAGGGAGCAAGAGTTCAGAACACAGCAAAGAATTTGGGGATCAGAGACCGAACCCCACAGTCTGCTCCAAGGTAAGTGACTCCCCGGGTCTACTCTTTCACAGAGGGCTGGCCACAATTTCCCAGGCAGTGTCACTCACAGCTATTGGCAGATGGCCTTGGAAACACTCTGTGGCTAAATGTGACTAGGCATAGTGGTCTCTGAATTCAGTGGAACATTAAGGGAACATTAACAAACTTAGAGGTAACAGATCAAAGTCTTGATATTATTCTGTTTTGCAAGTTCCATCATGAATTCAAAGACAAAAGGCCACATTGGTGCTACTAAAATTTGTATTCCAGCTGTACTGAACTACCAAAATGCCACTTTCATTTATTTTTTATGCCTCGGGCATGATTGCTTCTCCCACCTGTGTCGAATGAAAAACTCCTACTTAACCACAAAACCCAACTTAGATGTCCTTTTCTCTTTGAAGTCTTGGTTGAGTTTTTTTTTCCTTCTTCCACCGCCTTATCATCTTGTACTGATCTATTCTAGCCCTTATCATATTGTGTTACAATTATTGGACTCCTTGACCAACCTGAATATGAATTCTTTGGAGGCAGAGAGTATGTTTTTTGATTTTACTCCTTGCTTATCATAGGCCTCTATAATAGACCTTAAATATCTGATTTCAAGAATGTATGAATAAATAAATGAATGAATAAGCTTTTTCTTTGCAACTATACCAAATATTCATGGTTCACATGTCACCAAAAGAGAGGACTCTAATCCACCTTTAGAATAAATGAACATGGAAACAGCCATCAAAGAAATGTTAATTTCATTTCTCTGGTGACAGGAGGATAGGCAACCATCTATCTTGAATTGGGCAATATTAAATAATTTCTTTTACATTTGCTTGTTTTTATACATTGGCATTTCAACAAAAAGTACCCTCCTCCAAGCACTGTCACAGATAAGACACTCTTTGTTTCTATTTACAAAGCAATTACCAGAGTGAGAATGATGACTGTAGCATTTATGAAGTTATATTTCATTCTAAAAAAGTATGTGGGCAGTGGAAGTACTTTCAAAAGGGAAAACACATTTTCCCCTTGAAAATGGATGGAGCGCTCATGTTCTAATTGTGTTTTAGTGCTGAATCCTAACTCTATTTAATCCTCAAGTCTTGTTAATGTTATCTTTCATAGCTGATTAGGTTAGAAAGACTTTCTGTTGCTAAAGAATCATTTCACATAGGCATTCTCTCTCTAGCACCTTGAGCAGACACGGTGTATTTGGATAAGAGACCCAGTGAAGTGTTAAAATCCCAATAAGAAAACAAGATAATGGCTTAGCAAGGTCTTCTTAGCCAGAGCTTATAAACACTAATAAACAGTGGGGTTAAGATAAGACTTCAGCATCCTGATCAATAAACCAGTATGCAAGCTGAATACAAGAAAAGAACCCAATGAATTCGCTTTTTTTCTTTATTGGGTTGTGTTTTAAAACACTTAAACTGAAACACAATGAAATGTGCCAGCTGTAAAGTTGACATTTTTTTACAAGAGAATAATAATCCCGAGAGAAATCTAGAGTAAATTTTAAATTTAATTCTATTTATTCTTTTACTCATTCTATAAATATTTATCGAAGACTTAAGAAATGCACAGCACCTGGGATGCCTGGGTGGCTCAGTGGTTGAGCATCTGCCTTCGGCTCAGGTTGTGATCTGGGGATCCTAGGATCAAGTCCCCCATCAGGCTCCCCGTGGGGAGCCTGCTTCTCCCTCTGCCTGTGTCTCTGCCGCTCTCTCTGTGTCTCTCATGAATAAATAAATAAAATCTTACAAAAAAAGAAATGCACAGCACCCTGCTATGCCACATGGAGAACATAAACATGAGAGAGAGAAACAGTTCCAGCCCTTAAGGAGCTTTCAGGTAAAAAGATGAGATGACAAAATGTAACTGGAAGGAAAGGTAATATGTAAGAAGCCCTCTATGAGTGATATGGAGAGAGTGCTAAGGTCCTAGAGGGTTGGGGATCCTGCCCAGCCAGGAACCAGGATTCCTGCCCCAAAGACAGCAAATTGAAGAACAAATTTGGCTCTCAAGGACAGGCCACCCATAGGCAAGCGTGGGGTAATGTCTCTGAAAATATCTTCGTGGAGGGGATAGAGTTTTCTGTCTCGGCCTGAGATAATATTTGGTTCAAATCCCTTACCAATCTCTACCATAGTCTTCCTTTCCCCATTCACTGTCTTTCAATACTTAAAATTCACTCTGCAAACAATATATTGAATTTCTTCTATATGTTTGTAGATGTCAGACACTGTGTTAAAAGCTAGAAATAAAGACTTAATCCCTTCCACTAGTCAGTGGGGTGCAGTAGAGAGACCATTGAATGAAATGGAAACAGGATCCAAAGTGTAAGCACTTGGGCACATAAAGACACAGATTGCCATGAGAGAGAAGGGGCACATAATTCAGTCTAAGGATAAAGAGGGGAGGTTGCAGAGTATTCCTGGCCCAGTCAGCATGTAGTGGATGTCCTCCACAGCTGATGGAATCGCACCAGCGCCTAGGCAGCACATCTCACTCCAGGAACTATATACCCAGATCCCGATGACTGGTGATTGAATGTGATTTAAGAATGGTGCAAGGTGGGACTCCTAGTTGGCTCAGTGGTTTAGAGCCTGCCTTCGGCCCAGGGAGTGATCCAAGAGTCCCAGAATCAAGTCCCACGTCGGACTCCCTTCATGGAGCCTGCTTTCCCTCTGCCTGTGTCTCTGCCTCTCTCTCTCTCTCTCTCTCTCTCTCTCTCTCTCTCTCTCACTCTCTGTCTCTCCCTGTGTCTCTCATGAATAAATAAATAAATAATCTTAAAGAAAAAGAATGGTGCCACGGTGAGGCTGGAGGCATACGCAGCAGCTGGATCAGGAAGAGACATGTATGAGATATGAAGAGCGCTGATATCGGATCACCTAGGTGGCTCAGTGGTTCAGCATCTGCCTTTGGCTCAGGTCATGATCCCAGGGTCCTGGTATTGAGCCCCACAGTCAGGTTCTCTGCTCAATGGGGGGCCTGCTTCTCCCTCTGCCTGTGTCTCTGCCTCTCTCTGTGTGTCTCTCATGAATAAATAAATAAAGTCTTAAAAAAAGAGTGCTGACTCCACTTGAAGACAATAGGGAAGTATTAAAATGCAATCTTCCTGTCTGGAAGATTTAAAATTTCAAATGTATCTCTGGCACCATTAAGAAGATCCATTCGAGGACAGCTAAGATTGAAGGCAGGAGCTTGAGCAGAGATTGTTGTGGTATTAAGGATAAAAAGGAGAGGATGGTTCAAGAGATATCCAGCAGGTAGGATTAATAGTCTTTGGACGCTAATTGGATGAAGGAGGTTAGAGAAAAGGAAGATTCTAGAATGACCGCCAAATCTTTGGCTTGGGTGAGGATGAGCTCATCTCAGTAATATTGGGACTGAGGATCAATGGGACACCCGTGTGAAGATGCCTTTGTGGGCAGTACCAACCAGGTTCTTCCCCTAACTTTCATGTGTTGCATCTTCAGAGGAATAAACTCATCTTTATCAAGAACCAGATATTCCTTTTTAGATGCAATGACATGCTGGTCTTATTTTTTTATTGTGTCACAAAACCTATAAACTACTATGCTATGCTGGCTTGATTTTCTTGATTTGCTTAATTGTGAAGCAGCATTCTGTAGTGGTTACAAGTGAAAAACATGGGTTTGAGTTCCAGCTCTTGCTTGTGACCTTAGTTAGCCAGGTTATTTATTTTCTCTGAGACTGTAGGGTAGGGGGAATTACCTTGGGACAAGTTATTATTGAAGCTTTAGCCTTTAAAAGAGGCATCTGCTTTGTGGCCTCCCTTAACACAGCTTTTATTTATGCCATGTAGAAAGATGAAGGGCATCATGTAGATTGAAGTTTGAAAGTTCTACTTCCAGCAGAGTTGGATGGGGTGAGAAACACCAGCTCCAAGATGGCTGCCTGAGCCCAAACAGGAAAAGAAGAATGTGGAGCCGGGAACAAACCTTTCCGTGCAGGGGCACTGGTGTGCATGAGTGGGATGAGGATACAACAAGGGTCCTACATGTCGGGCAAAGCAAAGCCTCCCATTACCTAACAGTTTAGCTGCCAGAAAAACAAATGCCTCCCTGCAGAGTAAAAGTCCAACTCTTAACTATTACATTTTGCTTCCCAACTTCATCTGCCTGTTCTAAATTCCCCAAGCCCCACAATTTCCATTACAAATGTGTCTGAACTCAAATAACCCTGAGTCACTTCCAAGAAGCCTCACAGAAGCTGAATCTGCCCAGCTCTGCAGTACCCAGAGCTATTATTTCATTAGGTGATCACAGGGAGTAGCCTTTTTGCCAATTTGCAAGGCAGACATTTCAAAGACTCGTCTACCCAGTGGCATTAGTTCCATTATGTGAAAACGTGCAGTGCAAGGTAATGGAATGTGATGGCGCAGCCCAGATCTCACAGGGTAGGACATTCACTACCCAGCTTACTGTTTCTGTTCTACCTGAGTAAGGCCACTGCCTGCCCACTCATTAGGCAGCGCTGTCAGGGAAATGAAAGGATAGAAATTAAAGAGGAAAAGAACTTCCCAATCATTCTATTATTCCAGCGCTGGCAATGCATTTTGAAGCAACACCGTATTTTTCAGCTGCAACGGCAGCTTTGGACTATATCTGCTCAATTTAATGTATTCTTTTCTCTGGGAAGGATGAAATAAGCTCTTCTGATGTGAGATGTCCTTATTTCAGTATTCATTTTCTTCCATGAAGATGACATATAGAGTATTAAGCACCTTTCAGACTTGAAATACATTTTGCAAGTCTCCCAAGGCAGTAACGTTTTCTGTGTGTTTCCAGACTACGAAAGTTTATTTTGTTAGCTAGGTTTCTAACTCAACATTCAAACTTTTTAATTCTTTCCCCCTTTGACTTAGAATTAGCATGGGATTAAATGTGGAAGGAAGAGGAAACCTGATTTGCTGAGTTTCTCAACAACTCATGTAAACTTTGTTTGATTTAATCTGTAAAAGAAGTGAATCACCACAGCTACCCCTGAGTTTAGAATACTTTTTAAAACAAGCAAATTTGGGGCATCTGGGTGGCTCAGTCGGTTAAAGCAGACCTGTCTTCAGCTCAGGTCATGATCCCTGGGTCCTGAGATTGAGCCCCACCATCGGGCTCCCTACTCATTGGGGAACCTTCTTCTCCCTCTCCCTCTGCTGCTCCCCTTGCTTTGCTCTCTCTCTCCATCAAATACATAAATAAAATCTCAAAACAAATAAATAAATGGAGCAAAATTGAAAGCTGTACTTAATATTTTTAGATCACAGAGGAAGCTCTGAAGCAGGGCTAGCATGACCACAGAACTATAGGACTTGTGATTGTAGTCCAACACCTGCCGGCTTAGTCAGCTGATCTCCCAGGTTGTGCCTTCGGTGATGGGTTTGCCCCATATGGTCACTGGCTGTCTTGCAGCTGCTATGTGCCCCTTAATTCCATTCTGGAGCCAAGATCTAACCATTCAGAAGAATGCAGGGCTGCAGGAGCTTGTACCATCCCTAGTTCAGTTCCCTGCCCCTTGCCTTAATGCTGAATGACCTCAGACACCCAGATCTGGGATGCCAAGAGGGAGCGCTTCTGGGCACCTCCACAAGTTCCAGTAGATGCCTTGACCCACTTAAGTCTGCACCTGATTCTGCTGACAGGTGAGAGGAAGGATGGGCAGAGCCAGGCAGATTTTCCTCAGGAAACACATGATGATTATGCCTGTGAGGTTAGGACCCCACCACATCAGCCTGTTTATAACCAAAGAGATGGTACAAAGTGAAGCAAATTCCAAAAACTGGTCAGAAAATCAGTAGACCACTCTGAGCAGGTGCTCTTTTGCTACAAATTAATCATGATAGACAAGATGGTAATTATCAACATAATAATCATCTCCTAGAATTCAGAGAATCGATTTTGCTGCCAGCAAGGTGAGCAGTCGGGGTTGGCAGCACTGGAGCAGAAGCAGCTGGTGCGGAAGAAGCAGCACTGCCTAATCGGTAGTCATCCGATTCTGCAAGGAGACACGGGTGTTTTCTGAATAATAGAACTGAAGTTTTGGAGTTTGCGCATTCATATGTGATTTTTAGTAAAATAGGCAAGATGATCATGACTCCTGAACCAAGAAATCATTATCAATATCCTTTTTCTACCGGTAAAAACATCTCAGGTAATGGCAATATGCCAGACCCATGTCACACTCTCCTGTGCCTCTTCTAGGCTCTACAAGCTGTGTGAGCCGCCTCCCCCCATGGGAGAAGAATAAAGAGAATCCCCCAAGGAACCAGGCAAGCAGAAGCTTCTGAACACCAGACAGAGGACATGCTGGCTACATATTCTCCATTCAAGATAAAGAAATGACTTTTTTTGTCTCAAAATCCTTCACCATGGAGTAAATAACCAGTGTTCAACTTGTACTTGTTCAACTTGTTTGTGCTGGCAACAGATCAGAGGTCATTCAGACAATTCGAAGCTTCACAAACTAATCTCTGTATGTATTGACACTAACTATTCATTTTTAGGGTAAAATTCATCCCTGGAGTTGATGAAAAAAAAGTCAGAGAACAAATGAACGATTGTGCCTCCTCTCCCATTGATTAAAATTATGTTATTGTGTTTGTTTTCATCTTCTCTAAATGGATCATGTAATATTTCCACTTGAAGAAGTCTTTCACTGAAGACACACGGACACACTTTCCAAATCCTGCTACAGAAATGTTACAGACAATAGAGACTGGGTTCTGTCATAGGTATTCAGTACCTCACCTGCATCAGAAAAGTAGTTCGTATGGGGAAGGTGAAGAGCATGCTTTACTGTTTCTCATAAGGGTTTATTTCTCAGTAAAAGAGAAGACAGCTGACTGAGGCTTCTACCAAGACTTCCTTCCAGACCCTTAGAAGTATCTCTTGTGCTGATGGACAGTTCCAGCATGCTGGTGGTGTCCTTGCTTCCTGAAATGGCAGGGCTTCCTTGGCCATGCGCACTGGGGCTCCGCCACAGGTGGCCAGGGGTGGGGAGCAGCAGCGGTCTGAGAGGTGTGGGGGGGGGAGGGGAACAGTAGGGTAAAGGAGAAAATTTAAGCCCATTAAAAAATTCAACCTGTAACTTAGAAAGATACCTAAAATCCTTACTTTATTAAGGCTTTCATATGAGATGTGAGACTCAGAATATACCATGCTGAGTATTTTTCTATCAAGGTATGTGTATAACATGAAAATAAAGCTTTATTTGTGGAATTTTAAAAGGAGTAGTAGCGACCTTGATAACATATGGAAGCACAAGGTATATTCCACTTTCTTTCTAAAGTATGTGTAATATTTATCATCTCTGTGTTGATAAAATAACATTGTTTTTAACATAATGAATACATGGTATTGATTTTTGAGTCTATAATTTTCAAAGCAATTAAAATGCCCTCACTGTGATTGTGCTAATTATATGGATTTAGACTAATTTAGTATGTGAAATGCTTTTCATAACTAAAGTATACACAGACCGTTATTAAATTTTAATTTATGAAATTTGATTATGATTTTCAAATGATCATTAAAAACCTTCACCACTAGCAGTTGCGTATTGAATAACAAAAATACCATGTTACACATGTATGAGGTGTTCATTCATATACTGGTCAAGCTGATAAAAATTGTTCTTTGGCACAGAAACACTTAAGATTTTTGCAGTACATCCCTATATAAAATGAGAAATAAAGAAACAAACTCCAAAGGTTTCAAAGAAAAAGTTGAATGCTTTGAATTTAATGAGGATATGACCCTTAACACAAATATCTATAGTAAGCATATCTGAAATTCCAGGGATTTAACATTCTTGACATTGTTAACAACTGATCCTGAAGGTCCATGGCATTAGTATTTCATGATTTTCCTGTGCTGAGAAATTGATGACATTCCATGCAGGCTAATGAAGGAGCAAAACTGATCAACTAGGTAGTATTTTTCATAATGTCACTACTGTTTTCTAATCCCCATCCTGGATGCCTTATTTCTCATTAGAAGGATGAAGAGGTCACTTAAACACTTCAGTCATACTTTGCTATGTTTCATGGGGGAAATTATCTGCTATTATGGTATGTATAAATTAGCATATTTTTAAGGATATAATCTCTAATGGAATGTGCTTAATTTTTAACGGTTAAATGTAGTGTAAGTGTACCATCGATCAGAGTGCTTGCTACTTATTAAAGGCTCAAAAGTTACTAATGCTTTATATTATCATCAGCCACTGTCATGTTTTATTATAATGAAAATTGTAGCTAACATTTAAGTAATTACTGTGTGCCAAGCAATACTTCCAAGTGATTTACCCCTATTTTGTTGTTATTGCTTCACTAATCCTCACAATGATTTGGGGTAGTACTCTTTTCATCACCCCCATTGTGATGAGGAACTGAAGCACAGAAGGGCCCAGTGATTCTCCCAAGGCCACCTGACAAGTGGTAGAGAAGCAGGATTTAAACCCAGGAAGTCTGCCTTCTTAACACATTATGCTGCTTCTTCTTATTCGTAGAAGAACTGTTGTAATATTACCAATAATTTGTTAGTAAATTTGGAGATATGTAGCATGTGTTGCCATTAAATTATAGACACTTTACATTGAGGGAAAAATGAGTGGAGATACGTAAAATGCCTTTCATATGTAAAAATCATAGGACTTCTTAGACAATTTTACCGTTCTGGATACACGTTTTGAGGCAATGCGGTGCTGTTGCAATCTGAAAAAATAGATTCCTCGTAATTGAAGATAACAGTTTTAGATATGTTTTGAAAGTCTGGAGAAGTATATTATATAAAATTTGATTCCAAAACAGCGGTAACAATAAAAAATGTCCAATGAATGAATGAATGAAGACAGTTTTTCAATGCTATAATGTACCTCCATGTGACATTGGACATTTAACTGGCCTTCAGTTTTTAGGATGGGTTTACTTAATGTTCACATAGTCCTCTACCTAACTGCTCACGCGCTCTCCTACAACTCCTATAAACCTTACTAACGCCTACCAACAGTTCTTCCAAGTACAGTGTTTGGACATTTCCCTCTCTTCCCCTAAAAGTAAAGATCGTGCGAACAAATTTTGGTTCTTAACATAGGATTGCTAACCAGTAATCCATCGTCAATACATCTTAAATATTCCACCATATCTTATAAGGTTACTAATATTAAATATTACAAAACAAATATAATATTAACAATGAGCAATTTGAAGAGACTAGAATTCTACATCTATTTCCATTACTGTATAACGAGAAAGAAGGAAGGAAAGAAACAAAGAATTCCTGTATAGGTTTTATTTATATTGGATATATAAAGTCATATTTAGAAGGTAAGCTTTATTTTATGAGCCAATATCCTCATCTGAAGAGTCTCACACTATTTTCTGTCTCTTTAAATCACATTCTTTCAGTGGCTTCAGTTCCCTATGCATTCGGTTGTCACTCTTCTTGCAGTAACAAGGTTTAATTTAAAAACAGGCTAATGTCTTATGATTTTATAATATATATGATATTATAATGATACTGGTTCTGACTCAATTGATTTAAATTTTGTGATAGCTAACTAAATTCAGTATGAAATGAAATTATCCTTGGTACTAGCTAGAAAAGTCAAGACAATGAATAGGCAAAAAAAAAAAAAAAAAAAAATCCTGAGGGATGCATTAACTAATTTAAAAAAATAAAACTATTTTGAGGGCACCTGGCTGGCTCAGTCAATAGAGTTACTCTTGATCTTAGGATTATGAGTTCAAGCCCCACATTGGGTGTAGAGATTACTTAAAAAATAAAATCTCGTAAAAAAGAAAGACTAATTTCAACCCTCCACGCAATATAGTTTTTTGGAAAAAAATAGTATTTAGGGAGTTGAGAGTTACTCTACGTATTTGATAATAATGCATTCATATTTAAAGTACTAACGTATTCCTTGATTAGTTCATATAGATATTTTCCTATGTAGCATGATTTGGGACAGATTACAGGGCATATTTTTATGCACCTATATTTCTTTAAAAAACATAATATTGAAGTTTAAAATGAATAACCCTACTTTAAGTCATTCTACTTTGCATTTTACTTTAAAGGTTATTTTCAGATTTTCTTCAATAGTGGTATTTACTAATATGGAAACTAATGTTTTGTATGATTAAATTGCTTCTGAATTTTTGGAAACTATGTTTAATTCTTAAAGAATTATTTTTAAGTGAATTAATATACTAAATTATAGTTTAATTACTTTCCTGAAGCCAGTGATAGTGATTTCATGTGTATGCATGTGTGTGTACACATATGTATATGTATCATGTGTATATGCACACACATACACAAATAAACATATATACCAATTTGCTGAATGAATTGTCAGTTGTTCTGCTTAAGTATAAAGGCAAAAGCTTTTGAAATGGTTTAGAATGATCTGAAGTTCGATTAAGAAAAATATTCTGTATGCTATCAGATTTTTGAAGTTTCAGTGATAAATCTCAGAAATGTGTCACCCTACATGAAGCAGAAGAGGTGGGGAAAAGTTATGAGAGGGTCTGCCCAATACAGGGCTCAGGCTATCCTTGTACGTATAGTGGTTGCAATCTTCCTATGTGCTGTAATTCTGTAATTGTTATTACATTTAGTCTTTGGTTTTAAATTTTTCTTACTACTTCAGGCCTTTGCTTTTAACGGTGATCTCAGCATTCCCATCGCCACGTTGCGCACACATGGAAGGTTGTAAAAGTACAGCCTATGCATTCTCTCACTACAGCATACTTCACTCAGGATAGCTTGCTTTTCTCACTGAGAAGAGACATTTGAAGTCTACTAAGATAGAGTTAGAGATCCTATATCTCTATAGACATTTTTATATACATATATTTGCTACTTTTTTGTTTTTGTGATTATACATTATAGAAATCACTTGGATTCTCATGTCTTGTTTTGGATGAAGAGATGAAATACGGAGTTCTTCAATATATTGAATGTTCTGTAGACTTCAGATTTGTCTAAATATATAGTACGCATACCTGGCAGGCCACCTTTTGATGACTGACAATAGTTTCCCACTCAGTTTGGCATCAATTTACCTAACTTTGCCTTCCAGAAGAAGTAGCTGGTTAAGAACAAAATTGTTGAATTTTCAAGTGATATTTCTACTAGAAATAGAAAGCTTTGGACAGTTTTACATGCAAATAACAGAATAAATACCCACTCATGTATTCGTTCCACAAATATGTTTGAGAATTCACTGTGTACAAGGCTTAGCCAGTGGGTCTCTTTTTTTGTGTTGGATGTGTTTGGTTCAAAAACCTTCTCAATATCTCTTTTGTGTTAATGGCTGCTTGTGTCTTTTACTTGAAATGACATTATCTGTAATGCAAACCTATTCTAATACCTTGTAGGTATATATACTGTATGAAATCAAGAATACTAAGTTGGAAAAATGCTTTAGAAAGCATACATTTAAATTTGAATTATCTAATGCCTCAAGCAAATTTCTTAGAGTTTCAGATGAATATATATTTTTGTAACTGCCAAGTAAATGAGTAGATCATAGCTTTTGCTTAAAAAATATTTTTATAAGTATTCAGTTGAGAGTTAGTTACTTTATGTATTTGGATATAATTTACATTTCAGTATTTTAAATAGTATTTTAAATAGTATTCATTATTTTAAAAAGTATTTTACTATTATTTTACTATTTTAAATAGTAAAATATCAAATTTGTTCTATAAATAGTAATACTTTTGAAAATATTCGTATTTAACATTGTATAACAGCCAAAATGTAGCAATAAATTTCACCTGAGTGTGTTATTATAAGCAGTCAATTTTTACTTTGTAAAAGATACATGTAACATAGTTTCATTCAGGACTTTGTGAATGGTTAAAATGATCCAAGTGCATTATGTATTTTTATATCATTTAATTTTGTCTGCATAAAAGACTAGAATAGTAGCATTGTATCATTAACATCAATAATAATAAAGAAAATGTAGTAAGACCATTTCAGCTACTTTCCACTTAAATTTTTTTAACCAGTCTTTATTATGTTCTTACCTGTTTGGGAGACAAAAATCCATGAAACAGAAATTTTCACCCATTAAGAGTTCACAAGCCTGACAGAAGAAACTTGGTACACATATGAAACAAATCTACAAACCTGAGCCAACATAAGTTATAGAGACAGTAGCTGCTAGGAAAGGGACAGGAAAAGAAGTTTAATATGGGCACAGCATAGGAAAGGTTCATGGGAGATACAAGACTTGTGCTGTTTCTAGAATTAACTAGCTAATCTTTCAAGATTATTCAGTATATACTATGTATAATACCCAGTCCTAGTTGCTGAGCGTGTTATAAATGCACATAATTCCCAAACTCTGCAGTTAAAGAGTGTGGTGTATCTATTTTATAACAATAGAGCATTATAGGGGCAACTGGCTGGTTCAGTTGACCATACAACCTTGATCTCAGAGTTGTGAGTTAGGGCCCCATGCTGGGGGTGGAGCCTACTTAAAAAAAAAAAAAAGAATCATGAAATCCCAGTGAGGAGTTTGGAAAGCGTGTATGATGTTGATTGTGGAGGCAACCTCCGAAAATTCAAAAGAAATAATCATTGAAGGAAACAAAAATCAATAACTAGACTGTGTTTTTTGGAGATTGCTGGTATTACCTGAGATTGCAAAACTTAATACAGTAATAAGAAGCAAATGGAATCAGCAAGGACAGGTGATTTGTTTTAAAACACCATTCCAGACACTGGTATTCTGGAGATGCTATTAAGATATACATAAAGTATTTTGTGGTGAAAATATGCTTTAAAAACATGAAATTTAACAGGTGTTTTTATCATAGGATTTATCTAACCTTTTATTTAAAAAAAGATTTTATTTATTTATTCATGAGAGACAGAGAGACAGACACAAGCAGAGGGAGAAGCAGGCCCCACTCAGGGAACCTGACGTGGGACTTGATCCCGGGAATCCAGGACCAAACCTTGGGCCTAAGGCAGCACTAAACTGCTGAGCCACCCAGGCTGCCTTCTAACCTTTTAACATACTTGTAAAAAAATCCTTACTTTGGAGGAGAGGGGTGCAATACCGTGTTTTTCGAACTTTCTAGAGGGTAGGATATATTTATAAAAGACTTGTTGTGGTGCTGGGGGGCTCGGTCTGTTGAGATTCTGACTCTTGATTTAGCTCAGGTCATGATCTCAGGGTCGTGGAATTGAGCCTGCCTGGGGCTCGGCATGTAGTCTGCTTGCTCTCTCTTTCTCAAATAAATAGATAAAATCTTTTCAAAAGGTTTATTAGTATTTTCTTGGGATACAAATATTCAGCAAAGCACAATTTGGGGAAAAAATTCTCGAAATTTCATGATAACATGAAGGAGGAAAAAAGGCAAATACATTAATAGGAGATAATGCAACCTTTACCTGATGGGAGTACCACCAAGGCTTACAGGAAGAAATGACAAATATTGACATAAATAAACAGTAACAGTGGATTAGGATTAAAAGCAGGCTGTGATGTTTTATTCTCTCACCATTCATCTATGTTCAGGATATCAAGAGGCAAAGAAGAACTTATTTCATTCAGAAATGCAATCGTCTCCTCTCCTTTCTAACCATTTTAGCCCTGTAAAGTGATCAGATGCTGGAGGAGAGGACACTTTATGATGTCAGTCCTTGGCTCCAGTCAGCCATGTTTTCTGAACTAAATTTGTAATTTGCCAATGGCTACATCCAGGGTGTCTTGAGTTAGATGACTTAAAAATAAAAGATGAATTTTCTCTTCACAAAACGTATTTTAAAATTTGCTAAGTTTAGAGTTCCCCAGACTGGCATTGATTGGACATTTGAACATGACTGGAATGCAGTAATACAAAATATCTCACTGATTGTTGAAAGGAGGGTCTTGATAACACGAATGTCCAAGTCATCTCTAAGATTCCTTGGGATCAGGAATCTTCAGATATAAGTCTGGGCTCCTTCACTATTAATTAGAGAGGATGCATGGGAAGAAGTTTCAGCATAAGACTCTAGAAATTAGCAAGCCATAGAGTTCTTAGACTCTCTGCCCTTGACTCACTATGTTGCTTTTATTTAGGAGTGACCTGTGAACTCCTTGCCAGAAGAGTGATGAAATATATTATTCCAGGGCTGTGCACTCAGAGAAAAAAGGCAGTGATCACCACATGATGTAATAGAGTGCTCTGTTCAGGGCACGTTAGTTCAGAAGGATGAAGACAACTGAGGACATAAAAGATGGACAAAGCGTGAGTAAGGACATGCAGAGATGATTGCCAGGAATATTAGGTCCATTAAAAACTGCTGCTGCTCTCTGTGCCCCCATGTTGACTGTTGAAAATGTTTACCTGAGAAGTTAGACTTTAGGACATTACCTAACTCTAGCAATGAGGGGTCTGGAAACTGTAACTAAACATAGAGAAAATAGGTCTGTTGATGATATGCAAATAGGCTTGTATATGCCCTTTGAAAAACCTATTTGAATTGTATAAAGTATTAGTTGGAAGGTTAGCTATGATAAGCTTTTTTTCCCCTACTTTTTAAAATTGAAATTCACATAACATCAAATCAACCATTGTAAAGGACACAATTGAGTGGCATTTTGCACATTCACAAAGTTGTGTAGTGGCCACCTCTACCCAATTCCAAAACAGTTTCATTACCTCCAGACAAGTTCTTTATTTTATTAAATATTTATTTCAAGATAATCATAGATTCACATTTTTGACAAAGTTGCAAAACCGGTTCAATGGAGGAAGGATAGGCTTTTCAACCAGTGGTGCTAGGACAATTGGACATCATAGACATAAATATGATTCTTGAACCCAACATTACACCTCATACAAAAATTAACTCCAAATAGATCTTGGGCTCAAATGTAAAGTATAAAGTTATAAAGATTTTAGAAAAAAATATAAAAGAAAATTTTCAGGAGCTAGCTATAGAGTTCTTAGTCTTGACGCAAAAAGCATGATCCATAAAAGGAAAAGTTGATAAATGAGAACTTATCAAAATTTAAAACTTTTTTCTATTTTAAGGACTATGTGAAGACAGTGATAAGACAAGTTACAGACTGGGAGAGAATAGTTGCAAACTACATATCTGACAAATTAGTGTCTTAGAGCATGTAAAGAACTCTGCAAATAGCCAGTTGCAAAAGGTTTCCTACTGTATGATTCCATTTACATAGCGTTCTTGAAATGGCATAATTATAGAAATGGAGAACAGATTAGAGGGAAGGAAGGAAGGAAGGAAGTGGGTGTGTCTATTCATAGGCAACAAGAGTGATCTTTGTGATGATGGAGTCTTCTCCCACTTGACAGTATTAATGTTGATTTCCCGGTGGTAGAACTGTCTATTTTTTTTTTAAGATGTTACTTTTCAAGGAAACAGGGTAAATGTTAAATTTCTCTGAATTATTTATCAGAACTGATGTGAATCTACAATGATCTTAACAAAATTTCCTATTAAAAATATAGAATAAGGGCAGCCCGGGTGGCTCAGCAGTTTAGTGCCGCCTTCAGCCCAGGGCATGATCCTGGAGACCCAGGACTGAATCCCACGTCAGGCTCCCTGCATGGAGTCTGCTTCTCCTTTTGCCTGTGTCTCTGCCTCTCTCTCTCTCTCTGTGTATCTCATGAATAAATGAATAAAATCTTTAAAAATATATATAGAATAAGAGGACACCTGGGTAGCTCAGCGGTTGAGCGTCTACCTGCAGCTCAGGGCATGATCCCGGGTCTGGGGATCAAGTCTCACATTAGGCTTCGTGGAAGGAGCCTGCTTCTCCTTCTGCCTATGTCTCTGCCTCTCTCTTTGTGTTTCTCATGAATAAGTAAATAAAATATTTTAAAATATAAATATAGAATGAGTTTTAGATGACTTTCAAATGATAGCTTAAAGGTAGTTTTATTGGGGCATTTGGGTGGCTCATTTGGTTGAGCATCCGACTCTTGATTTCAGCTCAGGTCATGATATCAGCGTCATGATATCAGGCCCCACATTATGCTCCATGCTGAGCATGGATTCTGCTTAAGATTCTCTTTTTCCCTCTTCCTCTGCCTCTGCTCCCCACCCCCACCCCCGCTGGAGCTTTCTCTCTCAAAAAAAAAAAAAAAGAGATTTTTATTAGTAAGGAAAATAAAATCACATTCTGAGATAGAGGCTAATAAACATGATTTTCTTCTTTATTATTCTTTCCTGCCAGCATTCATTCATTCAAAGAGTCAACTGTTCAAATTGAGCACCCACTCTGTGGAGGCATGATGTTGGGATTGAGTATACCCTGTTCACCCTTCAAGGGCCCTTGAGGAGCTCATATTTTATATGTGTGGCAAACTCATGGCCAGATATACAATCTACTACTCTGATTTAGAGGCTCAGTCCAGCCCTTAATAGCTCTGTAACCATGGACAAGTTACTTCTTTGACCCTCAGACTCCCAGAGCTGTAAAACTGTAATAACAATACCACTTACTTCAAAGGGCAGTAGCATGAATTAAATGAAATAGTGGAGGTTAAGAATTTAACACTGAGCTTGGCACCTGGAAACACTCTAATGTTCACTAGATAACAGACTATTAAGTGTTTTTATGAGGTTGAACTAAAATAAAAGTAGGAGGAAAGACTCTGCAGAAATGTTTTCTTCAGACCCATGGCTTATTTGGGGAAGAGAGAGATGAGACTGGAGGGTTTAGCTGCAGTTGGAAAGCATGGTATGCCATGCTAAGGAGTTTGTAGTTTATCTTATGGACAGTGATGAACCTTTTGAGTTTTCAAGCAGGTAGACAAATGAGATTATCAAAAGAGTTAACGTATACAGCAGTGCAGTTAGAAGGCTGTTAATGATGAAAATAGTGTTTCTCAGAGTGGGATTCTCAGGCCACGTGCTCTGAGACTCTCTAGAGTCTCTGGAAGGATTATGTTCAGGGATTTCATTTTAATAAACTTTACAGATGATTCTTTTT